GATACCTGACTACTACTTCCTTATTTCTTTCAAAAAGCGCACGTAAATTTCTGTTTGCCTTTGTATTGAGAGGGTAAGCCAGAACACGCACCAGAACCACTGCAACTGATTTATTCAAACAAGCAGAGAAGGGCATTCTTTAACTAGTTACTTGAAGCTTGAGACTTGTTTTCAATAGATGCATGCTATAGCTAAGAGCGCTAATTATATACACCGCGATCTCTGGTGTGGTCTGTTGTGTGTGTTTCTTCACCGTATATTAGCCTAGCACTTCAGAGAGCTTTTTATTCCCCATATTCCAAGAGTCTGGTGAGCATACCATATTCACAGAAAATATATTCTCGCATTTATTTATTCGTTCAGCTCACAGAAGCGAAAGATGATCGGGTCTGAAAGATTCATATTGCTTATGACATTCCTAGTGTGCGCTTTGGCTAGCCCACTAAAGGGTTCCGGACCATAGAATTTAATTGAAGCGCTGTATTTTGCCTTCTCGTCCTTGTGGCTCTAACGACCAGTCGTACTGTGTTCTCGTTTTCAAGAGTGTTAGTTTGGGAAAATATCATATACTGGCTTTGATGTTCTTATCAGGGACTTCAAGATTTGTCTGATGTACCAAGGATGTTTGAAGAATGTTAACTGCCCATAAGTTTGGTCCAACTAGTTATACCAGCCCCAATTTTTCCATATTCAATTTTGGATCCATCTTTATACCAAACCTCCCCATTACATAATTTCAGAATAGGGGTTCCCTTTATTCCAGAGAGCTCTACTTAGAATGGATACCTTAGAGAGATTTCTTGTTTTGGAAGAATATCTTCAAAACCTTCATATGGCTCTTATTTTTCTGATAACGCTATTCCTTAGTAGTTATCCTATAGGCTTCACAAATACTCATGCGCAACTTCAGCTTGCAATATATTGGTGCGGTTTTACAATCGCTAGGCCTGAGCAGTGCCAAGCACTTCGGAATAGACAACTCGCCCTACTGCGTAGTCCATCTTGAACCCTATCAATAGTAACTCAGATGCACCTATATTTTTGACATATGTTAACAGACGGGAGTCTGTATAGATGGAAAGAGACTAGCTGTGAAAGCCGTTCACACCCTGTCTGTACAGTCTCGTGTCCAGCGGGGACCCTGTTCCCTTTCTTTGTTTTGATTTTTTCTATTCGCTCTCGCTCTAACAGCTGAGTTCGATAAATTTCCGATTAAACTTAGAGACGGCAGCGATTTGTTCGTAGTTCGCATGGTTATTTGGGTCTATATTATCTACAAATGAGGTGATTCGCTCTGAAAATTTTGTATGGCGAATTACGTAACTCGAAGGGTAATTGGGGCGCCAATTACGAATGAGAGATCCAAATTACGGATGGGAGAGCGAATAACTTGTCATGGGAACGTAGTATTACCGGCGGCCACACAGGCGTTACATGGTTCTCTTTTTTTGATCGCCGAAGTTCATAGTCAATTTAATGTAATCCAAATGAAAAAATGCCATTTTTTATAAAATTTTGTTTTTGCTAATTCGATAATTTTCTGTGAACAACAGACGTGTGACGATAGTGCGATTACTGAGAACTTCATTAATTATAATTTGAATGTGCAGCTGATTACAGTTGTTTGTTGTCATGTATGTACACTGACTCATATGAAAATGCAGCCCTTTGAAAATATACATTCAGATTAAATAAACCGAGCTCAAATTTAATGGAAACCATTGCTTAACGCATTTCGAATGCTTTTTGTTTATTACGTAAGTTAAATTCGAATTTGGTCATAAATACGATTTTCATAAATATGTAATATGTCGACCGACCATAGCGCCACACAATGTGCAATTTTGAAAAAAGGGACAAAATCGAATATCTTGAGCATGACAAGAGAGGTATTTCAAAGCCTTTGAGATGCAGAATTCAGAAAAAAAATGTCGCGTTCTGTAAAAGAATTGCTTTCACTTTTAAAATGCGCTTCAAATATAGTAGGTTTTAAGTTTTTTTTTTTGACGTTCAGCCAGTATGCAATATCCTTTTTTTTTAAGTTTTAAACACATACATAGATTTATTGGCGCTTCCTGCTTGTTCTTGGTTGCAAGAATCGAAAAACATGTTTTATTATTTTTTTAAGTTCGTATCTTCATTTATGTATATTGCAACTATCTATAACTTATAATGAGAAATACATATTAGTCTTGACATATATTTTTTTCAAAAATAAATATTGGAAATTTCTAAGGATATTCAAGGATAAAGTTTTAAAAGAACATTTTCAACACTTATTCCTCCTTGTGCACCAAAAAATTAATTTTTTTTTTCAATTCCACAAAATTTTTCCTTTTAATTGATACCCATATTTTTACTCTGCACTGCACCAAACCTTTTAAATCATTTTTTTATTCAATCATATCCTAGAAATTTCAAAGTCCTTTATAAAAAAATCCTGACGTCAGAGAGAAAAAATAAAAACGCAGTTGTACTATATTTGGCTCCTAGCTTTGTGAATATACATATATATTTTTTCGTGTGTTTTAAAAATTTTTGGTTTTTGTCGCACGGTGTCATCCACAGTTTATCAAACACTTTGTTGTAGGAATGTTCGATATGATATGGATATTTCATGGTGCGATAATAGATTTTTTGAATCGATATCTCACAGCTCGATATATCGTAGAGGCCGATAGTTTACACGCAATATAAATTTTATTTTTCAGCTACAATAATTATTATAAGAAATAAAATAAAATTTCCTACGCAAAAATAATAATACGACATGGAAAATATTTTCATAACAGTATGAAAAAAGTGTTTCTCCATGTCATTAAAACTCAATGCCTTCCGATTAAATTGGAGTTAATACTCTTGGAGTCCATAATTAATTTTGACAGCGTCCGAGTTAAAAGATTTAAGATTTTTTGAATATCATTAAACACGATTTTTATATCGATATTGTTCAGCGCGAACAATAGTCAAAAATCCATTTCACATGCAATGGAATATATCGATTCATGATCGAAATAATATCGAATACTCTTAGTGGGCGGCTTAGACTGTCTTCAGTTTCAGAGTTTCGGCTGTTTTATAAAACAAAACAAAAACACGAGTTTATCGCGTCGTTCGAATTTTGTTAGTAACCACAGTATGTGGCTAAATTTACGCTCTCGCTTCCAGTATTGCGTGTAATCTGTGTAAATTAGATTTGACACGATATAAGCGATTCATGCAATTTCATTGGTAATTGGTTTTGTAATTAATTGCTTTAGTTAAATTTGATAGAACCATTCACTTTAAGTGATTTTCTTTTTATTTAAATAATTAAAAGATAGCAAAATTGATTTGTTTGATTGATTTCTCGATCAGTCTCTCTTCAGTGTGTGACAACATTTAATTGTGGCGATACGAATACAAGTCAACGATCAATCTTTGTTTTAATGCAATTTCCACAGCGCAGAGTTGACGCACACTCGGCCAGTAACTGTCGATTTTTAGTTTAGTTTACAAATTGCATGCTAACTACCAAGTCAGGTTTAAACGGCCCTTAAAGAAACCGAAGTTTTTTTTTTATATATTGCATATGAACATTAGACCGCACTAGAAAAAAAACATCGCTTTAATTATTATTCTTGCAATGCAATTTGAAATTTTTTACTCGAACGTAGAGGTTGGTTTTTTAAATTTTTCGTCATATCTTCGGCATTTACATTTACAGTCTCATCTAAAAGCATGATACAAAAAAGAAGGTACTTTTTCGTTGCCATATTAACAACCTGACAATTAAGCAGATTGTGACATTTCGTGCTATGATACCCAATATCTAAAATCCTTCGAATTTTATTATTAACTCTTTGTTTATTTAAAAACCATTTTGTTCTTAGAATCGAAATTTGAACAAGCAAAAGGTATTTTGTTGCGTACGGTTCAGTTATTCGTACAATAATTTTGGGTTATTGTCCCCATAGTTATATTGTGAAATAATCAGATGACATAAGGACACTAAAAAAATTTAAGATATCGTCGGCGATACAGCAAAACGGACGATGTCTATTAGTACCCTTGACACTTACACATATGTATGGTCTCTTATACTTGCACCGGAATGCATCTGCAAATCGTTACACCCTAATAAACGATTGACAAAACTGTCTACCTTTGACTGATGAAGATGAACGATTGCCAGCAGCGATCAGATACAGATAACAGATCAATTAAGCACCAGAGGTAATAAGTGACATAGAACGTTTTGCAGTATCACCGACGATATGTTCGCTAAAATTTTATCAATCTAAAAATAATGATTTTGGCGAGTGGTTATCGAATTTAATGTGAAATTTAAACATTTTTAAGATAAGATATTAATTAAAAGTTTAAAGTAAAGGTTAATACAACTTTTATACTTATAATCCCAAATTTATAGTATAAAATCCCCTCCACCAAAAAAATTTAAATTGGGTAACGCCGCTTCGAATTTTTCACAATTGAGCAATTGTAAAAAATCTGCTTTTTAATCAAAAAATTGTTTATTGAACCTACCTTCTTTTTTGTATCATGTCTTAGAGTATGATATAACAATGTTTTTGACAATTGTTTTTGGCCCAAAGTTATTGCCCTTCTATTGCTTACCCACCAGATTTCAGTTCTTATCACCCTATCAGGGCTGTATGTACCCTAATGTCAGTAAATTAAAGCTCACCAAAATTCACTAAACTTTTGCTAAGGAAGTATTTTGATTATACTAGTGGAATTATTTGAAAAAAAAATATTGCGAATGTATGTAGGTGTTACCAGAAAAAGTAAAAAGTGACACCTAGGTTCGGAAAAACAATTTTTTTTTTTCAAATTACATACCTTGCAAGAATAAGCAGGGTTGGTACGGCGATCTTTTTTTGTTTTTTTGTTTTGTAAAGTGGTATGGTATATTTAGTCCATATTTTCGTATTGCCTTTTTAAATTTTATACATATTTCAAATTTACTAATTTCACTTTATTTTATTTTTTCATTTTAGTTTTCCTCGTGCCACAGCGCGTGATCCTTGCGATCATGGGCTTCTTGGCCATGCTCAACGCATACACTATGCGTATTTGTCTCTCGGTAGCCATTACCGAGCTGGTGGTGAAGAGGAATTATACAGATGATAATGGTGAAGCAGTGGCTGTGTGTAAAGCCGATGATTTGGACTCAGGGTCAAGCGTAAGTTCTTGCCTTACTTACCCAATTATTAGTAGATAATTTGTTTTTCTCTTTCTCCCGCCCTCACTTTATCTCTCTTTTTCTCTCTCTCTCCGCTACAGTCTAGCGGTCAATATGAATGGTCAGAGGAGTTACAGGGTTATATTCTCTCGTCTTTTTACATTGGCTACATTTTGACGCACATTCCCGGCGGTCTATTGGCTGAGAAATTTGGCGGCAAATGGACGCTCAGTTTGGGCATTCTTTCCACAGCCTTCTTCACCGTCATTACGCCACTTGCTATTATTCATGGTGGCGCTAACTGGCTGATTATAGTACGTATATTGATGGGCATCGGTGAGGGTACTACCTTCCCGGCATTGAGTGTATTGCTGGCGCAATGGGTACCAGTGAAGGAGCGTGGCAAATTGGGCGCTTTGGTATTGGGCGGTGGGCAAGTCGGCACAATTTTGGGTAACTTATTATCTGGTTTCCTTTTGGCTGCCTATGACTGGCCTGTGGTTTTCTACTTCTTCGGTGGTTTGGGCATTGTATGGTTCATAATATTTGTAAGTAGAAATGACGCAAACAAAGCAAAGTGAAACAAGTCGAGATTTATAATATATGCATTTCCTAATTCTACGTACACTTTTTAGACATTCCTTTGCTACAGCGATCCGACGACACATCCATTTATTAAGCCTAGCGAAAAGCAATATCTAACCAAACATATGGGCACCATTGGACGTAACAAGAATCTGGCACCCACACCATGGAAGGCTATACTTACTAGCTTGCCAATGTGGGCGCTGATATCGGCACAAATCGGTCACGATTGGGGCTTTTACATTATGGTTACAGATTTGCCCAAATATATGGCGGACGTTATGCAATTCTCCATCAAAGCCAATGGGCTCTACTCTTCACTGCCATACGCTGTAATGTGGATATTCTCGCTGAGTTCAGGCTGGGTTGGCGATGTCTTAATCACACGCAAGATTATGAGCATCACAAAAGTACGCAAAATGATGACTGGTTTGGGTAAGTCGGAAGGGGTGGGTGGGTGACTAGCTAAATAGTGGCTAGCGAAAATATTTCGTTACTCTAATTTTCGTTTTTTTTTTTATTTTATGCGCAGCTGCCTTTGGTCCAGCGATCTTCATGGTTGCCGCTTCATATGCGGGTTGTGATCGTGTTGTAGTCGTGACGCTCTTCACCATTTGCATGGGTCTTATGGGTGCTTTCTATGCAGGCATGAAGCTAACACCACTCGACATGAGTCCCAACTATGCGGGCACATTGATGGCAATAACTAATGGCATCGGCGCGATTACAGGCGTAGTTTCGCCATCGTTAGTCGGTTTGATGACACCAAATGTAAGTTGAAACGAAAGGAAGTATTAACATTTCATAGAGAATTTCCAGTCTAGCTAAGAGTAAGTTATATTAACTACATCCTAGTTTCTGAGAAATTTTAGTGCATTACTAATTAGGGGGAATTCGGAAAACCTAAATAACAGTTGTGACAAATAGGATTTTCACATATGTAAGTACGTATGTATATACGAGTATTTTTCGTTTCGTTATGAGGTTGGCAACGAGGAAACAGGCAGCATTCAGACACTTCCTAAGAAAAGCTTTTGATTGATTTTCGCATGCTTTTTATGTTACAGATTTCATAAGCCGAGAGAAATAGCAGATCAACTATAAAAACGAAAGAATTTTTGAGACAGACACTGGTAAAAAATTATGGCACAGCAAAATTAGTAATTTGGTAATATCTAGTAACGACTCTGAACACTAGAAACACAGATAAGGGTCATTTGATCCATTTCCAAATTATAAAAGTCACTTTTCTCTAAAGAATAAGTTTATGATCCGTTTATTTTGTAAATGAAAAAAGGTTTTAATTATTTTCTTGAAAAAAAAATCATTCAAGGGATGCGTGAGTCATTCATGGTTTTATAAAAATACTAGCGGACATATGTCAGCAAATATGTCAAAAATCGTAATCGTACCTTAAATATGGATTTTCTGGAAACCTCGACATCAGGGCCACCTAGCGGATCCATTTTTTGTAAAAGTATAGATTAGATAATCACACCGGAGTTTTTAGTTTCATCAAAATCGGGCGATAAATACAGATTTTAGGCATATCTCGACTTCATAAAAATTTTATCATAGACACAAATTTTCTAAATACCTCAACTCATGCGCCACCTAGCGGATTAAAATACAGCGTATGTCTGTCCCACAGGTCTAAGAAATATGTTGTCCAAATTCGGTTGAAATCCGTTTATTAGTTTTGAGCCAAGTTTTAACAAAGAAAAAAGCTCTATATATATACATATATACATACATAGTTCCAAGGCCCTGAGTTCGGACATTTACATAGAAAGTTTTGACCGACACTTCACTACGTCGATATTTTGCCCCAGTAGACAGATTATAACGTAGCTTTTTATCTATGGATGAAAGCTCCCATTAAAAAGCCACTCTGACTTAAAAATCAGTACATGATGAACCCTATGAAGGTCCCAACGAAGTTTTCTAATGGCTCCTTATTGCATATATGTGACACAAGGTAAGGTCTTGTCAATTAGTAACAAGGAAAAGCCAGACTTCCAATTTTAATTAGTTATGTTCGCCAGAGATGATATACATGGAATAGCAGCTTTTGAAGGAAGCTTCAAGATTGATGTATACAACAAGGCGACTGGGAGTGCCTCTATTATGGAGAGACGCGTCTAGGGGAGCAGGGTATTGGAGCAAGCCCTGTGTCCCTATACTGAAGCTTTCAGTGCCCTTGGGAACCGTCTCTAGAAGTTTATGCCATTAGTGTGTGTGCAGAGATTAACGTTCGTAGGGATTATCGAAGTGAAAGGATGCTGTCCCATTGATGTGGGTAGCAGGGTCCATGGGAGTCGAAAGAAATTATGAAGCTGATCAGTTAGCCAGAATGCCTGCTGAATCGATCCTGATAGGACCTTCCTTGCGGCAGATCCTAACACGATAAAGGAAGTGCTCAGAAAGGAAAATACCAAACTTACGAAATTGCACTAGGAAAATAGCATGGGGTCCTCGTCAAGCTAACCGCATACTAGGGGGTATAATCTAAAGAGATACAGGCTACTCATAAATATCCCCCAGGAGTGGATAAGAATTAATACAGGTATTTTGACGGCTCATTTAGGCCAAGAGGCCACTTGCATAAGCTAGGGATTTAGCAACCGATCTGCGACAATCACCACCTCCTGTAGTGGGAGGCCGTTTCACGGAGAAAGGAGGGGCCATATGATATCTATGGCCAAGAGAAGAGCACATACACTTCTTACCTCCGGTTTCTATTCTGAAATTTATAGTCTTTAGAGCTGCATAGATCCAGTGTTCTGATAAGCTGAGGTCAAAATATACTCTGTTTATATACATACATATATCTCCAGAATAAAATTAACCCATAATCCAAATATAATAGGGATGTTTGATACACATCTGAATCAAAAACTTGAAATTGGAAAAACTTGGGCTTGTATCCCCGTGCTTGTATAGTTGGGTCGAACTTTCAAAAAAAAAAAAAACGATACCAAAGGGCAGTTACTCCACTATTTTTCAAGCAGAAATACTTGGAATATAAATTTTTAGGTGATAGTGCTTTGGAGCAGGCACATCTTCGAAATTAATCTGCATTATGTCAGACAGTCGGTTTGCCTTAGAAGCACTGAAGTTACACAAAATAAAATCAAAGCCAGTAAATATGTCATTTATTCAGGCCAAGTATACAACGTTTTTGGGCTTGGAACTGGGATATAAGGGGCATGATGGTACCAAACAAGCCAACTGCCTAGCAAAACACGGAGCTAACACAGTATTCCATGAACCGGAACTCTTTTGTGGACTAACTGGCTGGAAAACATTCAGTGAGAACTGCATTGAATATCCAGGGCAGATGTAAGCTAAGCGGTTTATCTGTCCATATCAGAGGTGGGCACTACCTCAAACAAGCGTGAGCTAAAAGTGAGAATGTGTTAGTGTGCCTAATTCATTTTGTATGCTGTCGTGTTCTCATCGCTGCGCTCTCGCTTGTATACGTACACGCGACGCTTACGCTCTTTTAGCACCTGCTAACTCTCTGCCCATGCCTGGTCCATATAAAGATGCTTCACCCGGCCAAAATCGTTTAGGCGGTTACAGCGCCAATCAAGAAGAAGAACGAGGTTGAAAAAAACGTACTTAACTTAGGCAGATATGACCTCCGAACTGTCATTGGGTATATCACTGAACACTCGTTATTTCGCAATAAACTCAGAAAAATCAGTCTATTAGACACGAACGTCTTTAGTTGAACGCGTCGCTCTCGTTGGGCCCGAGCTCGTTCGCCTTCCATTTGAAATTTGCAATAAAAGGCTTAACACTTAGCCTAACGCCTTAACGCCTTATTCGAGTCATAGTTTTCATATGCGGGTTTTAAAAGTGCTCAGAAATATCTTAGAGCAGCAGAGTTAGTATCTAGAGAAAAGTTAAGCCAACAGGTTTAGTAACACATTAACAATATAAAAAAAAATACATAATTATTAAATATACTCCACTCACCACATTTTCTTTTACATATTTTATCACTCAGTTCCTAATCATTCAACATATTTTTATTTTCCAGGCCTCGCTGCTCGAATGGCGTACCGTTTTCTGGGTTGCATTCGCCATACTTTTCGTCACTGCCATTGTGTACGTTATCTGGGCGTCGGGTGAGGTGCAGGACTTTAACGATCCACCGCGTAAGATCGATTTCGAAGCGGAGGAGAAGGAAAAAACAGCTGATGGCGCGCAAATTGAACGCTACGAAAAAAGTGAAATAACCGATAAGCTGTGAAGCTGTGCAGCGTGAAGAAGACTGTAAAGACACACGTGCCCAGCTGTAATTCGTTCTATTTGATAGCAAAAAAAAAAAACGAATATTTGTGCGCGCGGGTTTCGCCATAGCTGCCAGCTGAACTGTGGAAGCAGTGAAAGAATTAAAAAAAAAAAAAAATAGAAAAAAAAGAATTCAATAAAGTATTTATTTTGTAATATTATATACTTATGTAGTTTAAGCTGTAAAGCAAACGCCAACAGCGAGACAACGAAAGTTAAAATACTTGTAAGAAGATAATCATTAAAATCGATTATTTGCTGCTATGTATTCGTAGTAACAAAAGCTTATAACGCTACTTAAATGTAAAAGGCTTCTAAGTCCACTTTTTACAATTTTGAATTTTTGATGCAGAATGACAGATAATACACAGTTAAGACGGTTGTTCGTCTCTCCTGTACCATTTTAATAAATGGACTTAGCACCTTTTCACTTTTAGATAACGATATATGTATTTTTGTGAGCAATTTAGTTCTTACTTTTTTGCTAAATGTTGTTAAGCGTGCCCAAAGATTCAATAGCTATGTATGCATACGTAATTATAATTATGTACATAAGTAGGGTTATACATACTTATTAGTTATTTTAATTTGCTTATTTTCCTTATAATTTAAATATCTAAGTTCTTAATGTATGTATGTATGTATGTAACGAACTTGCAACTTTGCGTTGAGAAAAATGCTTACTGCTTATGCATGGGCTTTAATAAAATATTTAACAGAGATGTCACTTTTTAATCGTTAAATATTATCGATAATCGATTAATCGAAACTTTAACCATTCATTGGCTTTGAGTTGCGATTAATATCAGAAAATTAATAGAGATGTCGCTTTTTAATCGATTTAATTTTTGGCAGATTAATCGGAAATCGATCAGTTACATTTCTATTAATCGAAAATCGATCAATTGGAGATTGATAAATCGAAAATCGATAAATCACATACCAACCATTCGAAGCTTTAACAATATATTTTTTGCTTAATTCTGGAGAGTCGGGCAGTCGTTGTTATATTTTATTCCAACATTAATCAAAATTTAATTGTCCGTATAACAATTAAAAATTTCCAAAAAATCGTGCACTCTTCAGGAAAAATTTTCGTACTTTCGAACTTTAAGTTCAATTATTATAAGAGTAATTAGGTTTTTGTGTATATTTATGCAATAAATTTTATAAAATATTTAATAAGGGTGTCACTTTTTATTCGATAAATATTATTGAAGCTTTAACCGATCATTGGCTTGCAGTTGTGGGTAATTTAAGAAAGTCAATAGAGATATCACTTTCCAATCGATTTAATTAGTGGTCGAGTAATCGAAAATCGATAAATCACATATCGATTATTTGTTATTCGTACGTACTGTTGAGATTCTTATGTAAGTACGCTTGTTGCAATTGACATTGGCTTTGAAAGTTAATAGCGACGCATCTTTTTAATCGATTTACTTGGTGATCGATGAATCACAGATCGATTACACGAAATTCGTAAATTGTCAATTCATTAATTGGTAAATCACATATCGATTAATCGGAGCTCTAAATTTTG